AAGATGGAAGTGGTAGGATAAGAAAGCCTTCTAACCTTGTTGGGAGCGTTATCCTTGAGTGGGTTCTGTAGTATGCGATTTGAAAACCTAGTCGGTGCTTCAATACAAACTCCAAACACCAAATAGGAAATCAAAAAAAAAAGTTTTCTAACCTTGTGCTAAAGGGTCCCTAAGTTTTATTTATTTATATTTAATGAAGCTTTGAATTTAAATTATTTAAATATTAATTTATTTAGTGCATTTGCTTTTCTTCTCTTCTTTCACAATTAATTCCCAATTTTTAATAGGTTTAAATTATTCAACTTTTATATACAGTTTTAATATCATTAAAATATTTGTTGGAGATTGATATTTTGTCGTGTTTTTGTAAAATACGAGGGAGTGGAAACGATGAGTCGCTAGTAGTAATTTGTTACTCCCCGTCTATTTTTAATTGTTATATTATGCTTTTTAAAAATTAAATTAGATTATAATAATTCGATATTTTAAACAAAAAATTAAGATATTCAAAAACTATACTAAAAGTACTATAAATTATAATATTTTGCATATCAATATGATGAAAAAATACATCGTAAAATGTTAATCAAAGTTTTACCATTTGACACTAAAAAATAAATCATGACAATTAAAAGTGGACGAATGTGGTAGTAAATGACTACTTCACCCGTCCCAATTTACGTAGTATCTTTAAAATTTTGAGATTCAAATAAGTGTATTTTTTATCGTAATTTTGAGAATTATCAATTATTATGACTTATACTACTTTCTCCTACTTTTTACGTAATTTTTAAAAATATGTTAAAACTTGAAAATTTTATCTCTAAATACACTATAAAATTTAAATTATATGACTTTCGAAATCCGAATTAGTATTATTTTAGTAAGTAATTTGTTTCAAGCATAAGAGAAATTGAAGGGACTGACCGAAAACTGATGCTAGTGAATTTAATTTAAATAGAGCCCCCTGTTCTCGCATAATATCAAAACAAGAAAGGCGCGAAAAACCCAAATAGAAATCTCCGATCCTCGGAACTCAATGCTCCGGCGACATCTCCGGTCACCTCAATTTTCCACAATTTTTTTATAATCCATAGTTCTTTTCATTACTTTAACAAACAAGGACATAGCTATATGAATTTGACAAAGGTATGTGCCTTTTCACCCTTGAAGTCAAATTTTGTTCAAAGACTCACCTCAAAAACAACCATAAACCTCTCAATCTTGGAGGTTCTTCTGCTAAAATGCCAAAATTCCAAGCATTTTGGGCAAATTCTTTCACAAATGATCTCCACTGGGTTCATCAGAGATACATATGCTGCAAGCAGGATTCTCAAGTTTTCCACTGACTCCCTTTTCATTCACGTTAATTACTCTCATAAAATCTTCGATTACATAGATAATCCAAATGGGTTTATTTGTAATACCATGATGAGAGCTTATTTACAGCGAAACCAGCCTCAAAATACAATCTTTTTGTATAAATCAATGTTGAAAAATAATGTATGTATTGATAATTATACGTTTCCGCTTCTGGTTCAAGCTAGCACAATTAGATTGTCCGAAGCCGAAGGAAAAGAGTTTCATAATCATGTTATTAAAACGGGATTTGGTTCGGATGTTTATGTTAAGAACACTTTGATTAACATGTATGCTGTCTGTAGAAACTTGGTTGATGCAAGGAAGATGTTTGATGAAAGTCCTGTTCTGGACTCGGTTTCGTGGAATTCGATACTGGCAGGTTATGTTCAAGTTGGAAATGTTGATGAGGCAAAAGTAATTTTTGATAAGATGCCTATGAAGAATGTTATTGCATCCAATTCTATGATTGTATTGTTGGGTAGGTCTGGTAGGATGAGTGAGGCTTGTCAATTATTCGATCAAATGATGGAAAAAGATGTGGTTTCTTGGACTGCTTTAATTTCTTGCTATGAGCAACATGGGATGTACACACAAGCGTTGGATTTGTTTATGCAAATGTGTTCTAATGGAATTTCCATAGATGAGGTTGTTGCGGTAAGTGTGCTGTCTGCATGTGCACACTTGTTGGTTGTTCAAACTGGTGAATCAGTACATGGATTGGTTATAAGAGTTGGTTTTGAATCATATGTCAACCTTCAAAATGCTTTAATCCATATGTACTCTACCTGTGGAGATGTAATGGCTGCACAAAGATTGTTTGATACGAGTAGTCATCTGGACCAGATATCGTGGAACTCAATGATCTCTGGCTACTTGAAATGTGGCTCTCTGGAGCAGGCTAGAGAATTGTTTGATTCCATGGCTGAGAAGGATGTTGTGTCATGGACTACAATGATTTCTGGTTATGCGCAACATGATCATTTCTCAGAGACTTTAGCACTGTTTCAGGAGATGCTGCATGAGGACAATAAGCCTGATGAAACTACTTTGGTTAGTGTTCTTTCGGCATGCACCCACTTGTCTGCCCTTGATCAAGGAAAATGGATTCACACTTACATACGAAAGAATGGGCTCAAAGTGAATAGCATTCTTGGTACAACTCTTGTTGACATGTACATGAAATGTGGTTGTGTGGAGAATGCATTGGAAGTCTTCAATGGAATGGAAGAAAAAGGGGTGTCTTCTTGGAATGCTTTAATTCTTGGGTTGGCCATGAATGGACAGGTGGAAAGATCACTAGACATGTTTCAGAAGATGAAGGAATGTGGTGTAATCCCTAATGAGGTTACTTTTGTCGCAGTTCTTGGTGCCTGTCGACATATGGGCCTGGTAGATGAGGGCCGCTCCTACTTTAATGCTATGACCAGACATTACAATGTTGAACCTAATATCAAGCACTATGGATGCATGGTTGATCTACTTGCTCGTGCAGGGTTGCTCAAAGAAGCTGAGACACTTATTGACAGTATGCCTATAGCTCCTGATGTTGCCACTTGGGGTGCTCTTCTTGGAGCTTGCAGAAAACATGGTAATAGTGAAATGGGGGAAAGAGTTGGAAGGAAGCTCCTTGAACTTCAGCCAGATCATGATGGATTTCATGTGTTACTGTCCAACATATATGCTTCAAAGGGTAATTGGGATAATGTTCTGGATATTAGAGTAGCAATGACGCGGCAGGGGGTTGTTAAAGTTCCTGGCTGCAGTATGATTGAAGCAAATGGTGCTGTTCATGAATTCTTGGCAGGAGACAAGTCTCATTCCCAGATAAATGAAATTGAAGAAATGTTGGCTGAAATGGAAAAACGGTTGAAAATAATGGGCTATGCCCCAGGCACAGATGAGGTTTTACTTGATATTGATGAGGAAGAAAAAGAAAGTACCCTGTTTAGACATAGTGAAAAGCTTGCAATTGCCTATGGGCTCATTGCTATCGCTCCTCCTACTCCTATTAGAATAATCAAGAACTTACGAATATGTAGTGATTGTCACGCAGCAGCAAAACTAATATCAAAAGCTTTTGATCGGGAAATTGTGGTGAGGGATCGGCATCGGTTTCATCATTTTAAGGATGGCTCTTGTTCCTGCATGGAATTTTGGTAGCTAATACCCTGTTATTGGCCCTTAAAGAACTATTATGAAGGTTGTTCAACTTGAATGCCTCAATCTTCAACATTAACAGGCCAATGGCCACCATTCATGAATGACCTGTGCATAGGCTCCAACAAGGCTATCATCTCCCATATGGCCAAACCTGCATGATAATTCAATCTTCATTTTGTTGACACTGACCTTGGATATGGATAACAAGGCAAGGGTTCTGATGCTTACACTGTCTTTCACTCCTTGAGTTCCCATTTTCTTACCAGATCTCCACATATTTCAGATTGTGCCATCTGATTATCTTAATGAATTAGATTCTGGACTATAACATACAAGGAGCTCATTGTCAAAATTGAAATTTTTGGTCACTCACTCTTCTAGGACCCAAGTATTTGTATAATCTTGCTATGTTACTGCACTGTGACATAGTAATATCAGTATATCACCTTGCAGTGACTGGAATAAGTCTTAAGTATCTAATAATGCACTTGAATAGTTGAATTAGAGTTGGGTGCCGCCACCTAAAGTGCAGTGGAAGCTTGTGTGATTTCTCTATAAGCAGCTTATTTATGTATTAATCAAAGCATTTACCCCATTCTTGAAGATTTGAAGCTGAACAGGTGAATATAGGTTGTCACTTGTCAGTAATAGAAGAAGAATTGACCTGTTTCATTGTTATAATTTCCAGGTATCTTTACAGTCGATGGACAAGGAGTTGTAGATCTGATTTCCTTGAACTGAATAGGAGAGATAACCATGGGCTGTTGATTTTTTAGCATACAGAATAAGGGTGCATTTCTATGTTAATTTTGCAGTGTGTTGAAGAATTTCAGTAGTAGTTAATGAACAAGTTTATGCATATATGGTGGAAGCAAATGCGTTGGGGCTACCAGTGGAATTATACTGCCAAATATACAAGCAATACTCTTGTAAAACTGGCATGTAACATGACATTCTTATTTCTCAAAATCATGACTTGTTCTGTAGATAAGATAGAGAATGTGATACAAAGCAGCAAAGAAGGTTTCCATGACCTTGAGCCTGTAATGTTTGTATTTTGCTCCCTTTCTAGTTGTATGATGTATTTTATCAACTGGAAAAATGAAGTAAAAATTTTACATCTCTGCCTGCTTACTAGCAAACTATCCGTTGGAGGCAAAACTCTCAACCTTGAACATTAGCATAGATCATCTGTTCTGTTTTGTTGGTTCACCACAACCTATGATTTTACACAAATGTCACCTATGCACCAATCTGGGTGTTGATCAATGATGCTTCATAACAATGTTGACTGGTGCATGTCGTGGATGATGCTCCACCTTTTCCCTAGACAATGAGCTATTGCAACTGACTGGATCAGAAACAGTAGCAATTCCACAATAGCCTCCAGACAAGAATTACGGAACAATCCAAAACCACTTTGACGTACAAGTAGAATGTGTTTCACCACCTAAAGAATGGTCATACTCAATATTTTCCTCCCAGAATAGCAAAGACAGCAGATACAAATCTCTAAATGATCATATTATTCCTCAAATAATAACAATGTACTGATGTTGGATCTTCCAAAACATTTTATAAGTCAAAAGATACACTGAAGTCCATGTATCATATCTGCTGGTCCATGTTTGGCACCGAACTGTTTTTGTTTCCAGACATGGTAATGACTAACGAACACAAGCGAATTACAAGAAGATCATAGAGTTGTTCAATCTTCCCATAATAACAATGTCCCCTAGCTGGATCTTCCAGGAGCATTTTAGAATTCAGAAAATTCCCTAGACTGAAGGTTCAGAATAATCAAGAGATTGCTTTCCATGAAATTCAAATGTACTGTGTCATGGCAAAGAATGATTTTACTTGGTTACATAACCCACTAGTTCCTTTTCTCACAGTATCAACTATTGACTAAAAACTGATTGATTATCCACCCTCAACTTTCTTCAAAAAATCCCCTCTTGTATAGAATGCAACGTGACTTCTGAAGAAAATGAATCACCATGCCAACATATATAACAGCAAACACTTTGTACCTCATTGCTGTTACTTTTCAAGTTCCATCTTCTAAGTTATGTATAAAGAAGTCCAAATCAGGAATATATCGTGTGTCTCTCATATGTTCGACCAGGATTTTTACAACTTCATCAACACAATCCATATGTGAACCCATTTTATCTCCAGCAACAAAACTATAGTTCTGATTCTTTATCTCTACTGAACTTCTCCCTGCCTCTTTCTTGGTAGCCATCCTTCTCATCAACTTCCTCATTTTTGCAGAGTCACCCCATTTACCGTCAGCTGCATAGATATTTGACAGAATTACATAAGTTGCTGCAATTTTCGGCTTCAATGCCAACACCTTTCTTATGGCCAGCGTGCCCAAATCTGGATGATTGTGTGTTTTACATGCTCCTATGAGTGTTCCCCAAACAGATTCATCGGGATCAAATGGCATACTCTCTATCAACTTAAAAGCCTCCTCAACTCTTCCAGCGCGTCCTAGCAAATCTACTAAACTCCCAAAAATCTCCGGATCTGGAGCTATGTTGTAATCACCAACCATTGACATAAAATACCTTACACCTTTATCTACAAGCCCAGCATGACTACATGCATTTAAAACTGCCACAAATGCTATCCTATCTGGCCTGACTCTAAATTTAACCATCTCTTCAAAAAAGTCGACAGCTTCATTTCCATATCCATGGCTTCCGTAACCAATCATCATTGAGGTCCACGAAACCAGATTTTTCGTGGGCATTTTATCAAAAATTCTACGTGCACTTCCAATATTTCCAGACTTTGCGTACATGTCTATTAAGGCATTGTCCAACTCCAAGTTCCCTCCGAGGCCTCTCTTTATGATTCTTCCATGAATCTGCTCTCCACAACTCAAAATTGCCAAATTGGCCACAGCTGCTATAATGCTGGAAAATGTGAAGCAATTGGGGCTGAGACCTTCAAGCTCCATATGCGAGTATGTGCTGATAGATTCATATGGATCAGACTTCTCATATCCAGCAATCAAAGTGTTCCAGGTGATTGAATCCCTTTGAGTCATTTCATGGAAGCATTGCTTTGCATCATTTAAGCTGTTACACCTACAATACATATCTAAAATAGAATTCATTACAGGTAGATTAAAGTCCAATCCATGCTTGGCGATTGCAGCATGAAGTTGCTTCCCATATGTACATGAGTGGACCGAGGCACAAGCTCTGACTGCTATTGAAAAGCTAAATGGGTTTGATTCACCCTCTTCCTGTCCATCCAAAAACACACCAAAAAAGCATGAAAAGTTAGAATACAATTTTTTCTAAAACATGTGATTTCAAGAGGATTAAAGTGGCACTACTTTCTATATACATTAACTGGCCTTTTGCCAGAAAATATCTAAATACATACCGATAACATTCTTCTAAAAACATTAAGCCCCATATAGCCATCACCACGATGAGTATATCCCGCGATTAATGTAGTCCAAGACACATCATTTTTGTTTCTAATCTCCTGAAAAACCGCAGATGCTTCATCCATATCAACACAACACGTAGCATAGACATCCAAGAGTGCATTTGAAACATAAATACTTCCACTCATGCCTTGCTTCAGAACCAAACCGTGAACCAAAGCTCCATGAGAGTACGAATTGATCCCTTTACAAGCCTTCAACGTACTAGATAACGTGAACTCATTGGGGCGCACATCCGTATACCTCATCATTTCACAGAAAACCATCCAAGCACGTCCATGGAGATTACATGAAGTGTACCCAGAAATCATGGTCGTCCAAGCAACAACATCTCTTTCAGGCATTTCATCGAACAGTGTACGTGCTTCTCTAATCAGACCCCTTTCAAAATACGACTTGAGAAGACCAGTTGCTAATATAGAAGGAGGCTTGGGTACAAATGGTGGGTTTGAATGGGGTGGGTCGATTGCAGCACAAAGAAGAGAATTCTTGATAGTTTGAGGAATTTGAGTACAATGAGTTTGGGAAACTAGCTTTCTTGCATTCATTGCTTAAACATAAATTTAAGATTAACACAAATCGATTTACAGAAAGTAGAAGTCTTCGATTCATAATGTATAACAGTATAGATGTATAAAAATGTGCTTCATTTGTACAAGTCGCAACTGGTATTCTCTGTGTTCGAAGCTAAAAAAGTGTTCTCCAGTACTTAATACTTAAATTATTCTAATTATAAAGGTTAACAATCAAAATGAATAAAATAAAGAGAAGTTTGCTCAAGTAATAGGCCTTCTCCATCCCAACATTAAAATTGTGATTTCAGTGATCAAAAAAATAAAAATTAATTAGTGGATGTTTGAGTAAACAGGAGAAATTAACAAATGAATATATTTTAGAGGGTTTTTTTTTTTTTTTAATTAAGTCTCATTTGATCATTGATATGCAAAAAGTTGCAATTTTGAGTTTGGCATTCCAAACTTTGTACATGATCATTGAGAAGTTTAGAGGGTTGGTTAAGTTTAGCCCGCATTTTAAAACTCTTTCATGTTTAGCTGTCTTTTAATAAAAAAAATACCCCCTAGTTAAAACACGGAAAAACTCCAAGAAATTTTTATTGGAGTTTTAACTTCATAAAAATTTGAACTGATAAAGGTTTGAAGTCCATGAATCATTCATGAAGTTTCTCCATGAACTGCAACAGATTTTCCCACTTAAATTGTTAAAGTTTGAACTCATAAAAGTTTCCAATATGTATTAAAGGTTCCAGCATATAAAGAGCTTAAGGAAAAATGACAAAATATCAATCATAAAGAAACATAAAAACTCACTCCAATGCATCTTACACAAAGTATAAGAAACAAATACAACATGCCAATCATCGTAGTATAATTTATATACAGACTAATTCCTGCCTTAAATGAACTTGGCTTCATTTCCTAAGTTGATGTACTATTACAATTGATTGGCGTGTATAAAAACAATGGTAATTCCATAATGCTGTGTGAAAAACTACGTCTTCTTTTCTTTATGTCTTGAGGTTGAAAAAACCCTCCAGACAAAAACACTTATCCTACCTATTTCCTGTACACGTAAAATGAGTTAAAACTCCGAAAGAATGATGGTTATAACTCATACAAGGATTTGAGACTTGGCCGCGCCACGTGAGCACTTTTTCCTTCCAGATTTCTTAAGAGCACAGACACAAATCTCAAGAAGATCATAGTCTTCTTCCCAGAATAGCAAGGAAGCCGTCTCTGGATTTTCCAACAGCATTTTGGATGTCAGAAAACCAGCTATAGTCCATGTTTGGTACAGCCGAGCTTGCTTTCCTGTAAATTTACCATACCTGGTATCATAATATTCAGGCCACTGATCTACTCGTAGCCTTTTCTCAGCTGAATCAACTGCCTTTTTAGCCAGGTCAAGCCTATTCATCTTGATGCATGCCAGTGTGAACTGAACGGATAGAAAGGGCAACATCAAAAAACAGCAAAGGTAGGAGCAAGCTAGTGATGTTTGTTACAGTAGCTTTAGCTAACATTACTTTATCATCATAAACAATAATTCAGAAACCAACTAACTGAAGAAAACTACGAAACAGACAGTAATAGGAGAAAGTCAATGTGTACGGCCTTGTGGCACATTTCCAAATCCATCTATAAATATTCATTATAGATTTCAGTCATCCTTTAAAATTCAGCAGCTATATCATCTTAAATAAATCAAGAGCAAAAGAGAACGTCTAATCTGGTTCTTTCTTTTCGTTCAATAAGTTTAAGTTGCTTCTTCAGTCTGCCGAATGGGTACAGGTTATGGAGAATTTAGTTTTCCATATAATTCTGCGGTTGAAATTTACTAGGACAAAACTAAGATCACTTTTCAATTACCTATTTATCCAGGACAATTGCAATTTTCATAAAAAAGATAAAACATTTATAAGCTTATCAGGTAACTGCTCAGCCTCCTAGCACTCCAAAGACAATAAAAATACAGGCAGAGAGATGAAATTATTGCATTGTAGTTATAGTATGTAAGGGACATCAATCAAATGAATTCAGTGGAATGAACATAAAATCATTACATGAGTTAGGAAAATAAAATCATTTCAAATTCTGATTGCGGGAAGAAAGAGATATCATTAAGAGAAAATCATCAATCAACACGAGAAGAGAATGCGACCTTACCTGCCAGAGAAGAGTTGGCCAAGAACCCCCATTATGATATGACCAAGGTCTGCAACATTCAATTTGGAAAGATTAGTAACTTTGACTCCTTAAATGCCCAAAGATAACACATTATATAAATGGGTTTCGCTATCATGTAGTAGGATAGCATTGCACCCACTTCTAATATACCAAAACTAACCCTGTCAATCCTTATTGCCCTATTAAATAGCTGGGACTTTATTTTGTCTTTTCACTTAAAGTCACAATTACCCATCTCCCGCCTTCTACAGACCCCTTCCTCAATTAAGGTTTGCGTACATCCTAACCTCTCCAAACTCCACTTGTGGGATTACGTTGAGTATATTGTTGTATTTCTCAAGGTCTGAGCTCTCAAATACCATGAACAAAGAGAAATATTCAAGATTAGAAGTTGATTAGGGAAGAGAAAGGATACCCATTTATAATACACAAAAAGTTCATTGTGAAGAATAAATTGGAGAAACTGAAGAGGATGGGCGTGTTTATGAATCATATGTTCTGTGATGTTTAAGACTCAAGAATGTAGTCAGCCACTTAACCAGTCTTGATCACTTTCAGAATCTTCAAATCAAGTTGGAGAAACAGGAAAAAAAAGGGCTTAACCATAAATGTACAATTAACAAGAACATTTTACTACTCACAAAAATATGCTAGGAACACATCTTCTCACAAAAAAATTCTGTAGCTTCACTTTATCCTTTCTTTAAAAAGAAAATCATTTCTCATATTCTCTTTTCAGGAAGTTACCCAAATAGAGAGATTACTCACAAGTTCAGTATGAAAGAAAAAGGAGTTCCTCTGTTGTCTTGAAGTTGCATTGCTATCTTGTAAAATTTGGAAGACTCATGGATGAGAGAGAGAAAAGATTAACACAGAAGGAGACTGTTAGGAATGCGTTGGAAGTCATTAATTTAAATATTTAATTATATTTTTAGTTGCTTTATTGATTATTCTAGAATAAGGTTTAGTTTCAGAGTTTCATAAGGATTAGGTTAAATTATAGTTATTAGTTTGGAATAGGATTTAGGTCTCCTACTTTCATAAGAATTAGACTTCCTATTGATGTAATAAGACTCCTATTTAAAGGGGTTTTTGATGAATAAAACAATAAGTCATAATTCAACAAAAAGCAGGAGATTAGAGTTCTCTCTTCCATTGAACTCTAAGGTTTCAGTCTCTCTTTGAAGAGCTGAAGAGATCGGAGTTCTCTTTAATGAATTCTAAGGTTTCAGCCTCCCTTTAATGAGCTGATTTATATATTGTCTTGTGCATCGATCCTTCTCTAAGAATCATAACAATTTGGTATTAGAGCCTAACACAATGGGCGATGAGATCAATTCTAGATTTAGAGAAGAACGTGCCATTACAGAAACCCTAATAGACTCTAAAATTGCAGCAATGGAACAACGCCTCAGCAAAAAAATTATCCAAGTCATCCAAGAACAATTGTCTAGATTGGGAGTTGGCTCCACAAAACCAGCAACCCATAGACCTGTGTCATATAGCGCCCAGACAACTGGTAGATCAACAATTCCTGCTACTAAAGGCAATATACCACATATTCAACTAACCGAAAAGAATCATCCAACAAGTGGTAATTCACCTTTGATAAGTTATGCAAAGATGAATTTTCCTACTTCTAACAACATCAACAACCCATTAATTTGGGCACATCATTGTGAGCAATATTTTGAGCGATTTGGACCTCATGAAAGTTGCAACCTGATGGGCAAATTAGTCATGCTTCAGCAAACTAATAGAGTCGAAATTTATCAATGTCAACTTCAAGCTAGGGCTGGAATTGGATAAGTTGATACTGATCCAGATTTTCTGGATGATTGCCCCGAAACTTGAGCTTGAGGACAAGCTCTTTCAATGTGAGGGGAGTAATGTTAGGAATGCGTTGGAAGTCATTAATTTAAATATTTAATTATATTTTTAGTTGCTTTATTGATTATTCTAGAATAAGGTTTAGTTTCAGAGTTTCATAAGGATTAGGTTAAGTTATAGTTATTAGTTTGGAATAGGATTTAGGTCTCCTACTTTCATAAGAATTAGACTTCCTATTGATGTAATAAGACTCCTATTTAAAGGGGCTTTTGATGAATAAAACAGTAAGTCATAATTCAGCAAAAAGCAGGAGATTAGAGTTCTCTCTTCCATTGAACTCTAAAGTTTCAGTCTCCCTTTGAAGAGCTGAAGAGATCAGAGTTCTCTTTTAATGAATTCTAAGGTTTCAGCCTCCCTTTAATGAGCTGATTTATATATCGCCTTGTGAATCGATCCTTCTCTAAGAATCATAACAGAGACGGTAGATGGATGGGGAAGAAGAAGCACGTTTAGTTTTTTTATCGAAAGACCAAAAGGCCATGATAATTGTTGTGTTCTTAAATGACTATTGAGGGTAGTTAAATTAAAAGGGGGTACAATGCTAATCTGCTACCCTCAGTAGGTTAGCAAGACCCTACACACACATTTATATAAATATATGTATGTATAGAGAGAGAGAGCTCACGTGTTCTTAGGGTCGCTACCAGTGATTATACGCCAATCTTCAGACTCCAGAGCTGGGTAACATATCTTAAGGGGCATAAGACCCACAAGATCGTACCACTTTGCTTCAATCAGATTCAGGATAGCCTCATTCTGTTTTGGGGTACTCAAAGATGACACAATGGACCACAGATTTCCAAGTGTGAAGAATCTAAAGTCCATGTGGGCAGGTTGTAAATTGCCAATAAGATAACCACCTTCCTCAGGAATCCAGTCCATTAACCAATGAGGGATTTGTTCAGGGTAGATGTTGAATTTGTTAGTGGCTTCAGTGGAATACTCCTCTGTCTTATATCGATATATTTCATTGATCTTTTTCATATCAACCCAATAATATTCTCTAATGTGAAATGACAATGCACTAAGTCTGTTGTTTATGGCATTCACCAAATTCTTGGATCCTTCATCCAAAGAAAGCAGCTCACGGGAGCACCTAAGTGCTGAGTAAAATAATGCCTGCAACATCAAACAATCTCAGAAAAGATCAAAGGGAGAATCATAGAAGGAAAACAATGATAGCACTTCAGATCACTCCCTGAATATGTGCAACACAGAAATATAGAATAAATTATTAACACTATTACTTTTTATTTGGTAAGCCACTCCCCTAAACACCTAACCTCAGTACTGGAGGTGGAAGGATCCTTCCGACTAGCTATCCAACATTTGTCAACATAGAATAAAAATATGCCACCCTCTCCTACAGTGTGAAGTTAAGGAAAGATCAAGTTCCAAAGTTCATACAGTTCAGCTATCACCAAATTCTGATTCACTGTAATATCCTAGCAAAAGGGGCTTCTATCAAATAAGTATACACCAATGTCAGCATACCAGGTCAAGGAAAGACTCACAAGATGAACTTGAAAAATATATTAAACTCAAAAAGAGAAACCGGTTACGCCACTTGAACATTCAAAGGATAATTGGCAGTATCAACTTACTTGAATCTCAAGTGGATGTCCATGAATACCCATCCGCCTATCTATCATGCAGGAACCATCAGTGACTAGCAAAGAAGGAAACATATCAAACCCATCAGATAAACACAGGTTTATTATCAGCTTTATGCCAGTCTGTACATCCACTCTTTCTTGTAATCCATAGTCACCGGTGATCTTCCCATAAGCTCTCAACAAGATAATCCACCACAAGCCTGAAAAAGTCACAATTTCAGATCTTTCAATATTTATTTAACGGGTGGAGCTAAAGTAACAAACTTTTGTGATGATTCTTTTCTTGACCAATTTTCTTTCCTTACCTTCTTCAGAAATTATTGAGTTATTTATTTTTCTAGAGGACATCCTAAAAAGAAATAAATAATAAACTATAACTGCGAACTACCTCTTCACTAGTGATAAACACTTATGGAGACTAGAATCAATTAACCTAGATACTCACTTCTTACATTTTTTTTAAAAGGTAAGTATTAATACTCTCTTCTTACATTCAACAACCAATTTTCTATTTTGGTCCAGTCCACATTGGCATCCACTTCCCATTTTTATAAAGGTGTACAAATGTAACAGTATATTGCTCTCAAGGAAAAGTTCTAATGTAATTTATACAATAAGTGATAACCTGAGAAAAGTTCTCCTCTTTCTAAGACAACTTTTTCTTAACTGATCAAGTAACTAATAGTTCCCAAATGTTCAATCATTAGTTAATAAACAATAAGTTTGGATTCTCCTGTGAATGACCAGACATTATGGGACTTAATATAAAATGAAGGGAATGAAAAGTAAACACACACCTGAGTCAACAGGTGCTACACGGCCAATAGCTGACTCCCCAAAATCTGGGTCTAGAACTTCTTCGTATTTGTTATCATCGAGAGGCACTGTTCTGACTTTAAAACTTGCAGGCATCAATCCTTGCCCTGGACTGTAACAGTCCACAGTTTTCTCCCAACTCTAAATTACAGAAACCAACAGTAGTCAATTCATTTACCCTAAATCAATAACCCAAACCAATATCTACTCAAACACAGAAAAAATGAGAAGGACAAACATGTGTCCAACCAACAACAAAAAAAGTTTTTATCCCAATCATTGGTTTTTGACTAAATCTGAAGATGCATCAATGGAAGATCTAAACAATGAAATATATGTAGCTAATCATGCGATCACATAACAACAATACTATAATAGCTGATGCTATTATTGCTACCAGATGAAGGATATATGGTTGAATTTACAAGATAATCATGAAACTCCTTTTTAAAAGATCGATTCTCCAGTCTCCACCAAATAAGGATTCAAAGAAGAATCTCAGAGAAGCAAATCATATACAGTCCTGATCTCACACTTACCTCGAGTATTTAGGAAAAACCAAAAAGTTCAGCCAGGTCCCCGACCACTCTCTCCAAAAAACAGAAAGCATTATCAATTCTAAGTCCTACTGGTACATGTGAGACCTTTTCTGTGTTTTACTGTCGAAAGTGGGCAAAGGCGAGATAAACAATACTAATAATTATGTGAATCTAAAGCTACCACAACAGCATATCCAATTGGTAGAAGCAGAACATTTAATACCACAAGCAAGTAATTTTTCAAAGCAAAAGACTACCTGCAATTGGAGAGTGTGAAGTAGGAAGTTTCTAACAATCTCTTTCTCCCCCTTGAGTAAAAAAGCGAGGGCGGATGGAATAAAATCCCTAATAAATACTTGATCATAATTCAATGGCAATTTATCATTAGGATCATTAGCAGCAAGAGTCCCTATAGGGCTCCCACAATATGTAACAACAGCATTCTCCAACAACCTCCATGCTTCCTTCACCGTCTGTGACTCCTCATCCTCTTTCACGCTCTCAACTTTCTCATGTTGACCAGTTGCAGCATGTTCATCTAAATCAGCATTTTCCAACCCCAATGGCTTCTTCGCATTCAAACCTCCTTGAACATAAATCCTTTCAAAATTCTTGTCATTATTAACACGGGTTTTCTCAACCGAAGTTGAATGATTCCTAAAGTCGGATGCAACACTAGCAATAACATGGAAACCTCTCTTTGAGGCCCCAATCGGGTTAATACCATTACAATTACTTGAAAAAACCCTAGATTGACCACAAGATGAATTTCGCACAACACAAAACAGCTTCTGGGTCCGATTGATAATCCTTCCATTGCCCAAAATACGAGATGGGTAGCTATGAAAATCACATTTTTGCCTGAAATTCGACAAATTATGGGTCTTCTTGAATGGAAGACCCAGAAAAGAATTGCTTCTACATGGGATTAAAATTCGACAACAAGGCGTCATAGTAATCAAATTGATTGATTTCATACTGAAAATTATCCAAAATTTGGCAAATAAAAGGTTTGCAAGAAAGTAGTTAAAAAGTTTGTTGATGATGTAATAATGGATTGTTTGATGAATAGATTATTCTTGTGATGAACAATATTTGAATCAGCAAACATATAGAGGGAAAGAGAAAAAATTGGGATAAGATTCAATTTTGGGAAAGAAAAAAAATATGATTCGTGGAAAGTTTGAAGATCTTTGAAAAGTGGGAATGACTATTTCAGATGTACAGAGTTATTTATAGCCGCCAGCCTTGTGATGGAAGAAATTCATTTTTCTTTTTTTCTATTTCGACCACTAGAAATACGATTTTAGAAAAAGGAAACAAATAAAACCAAAAAAAGGATGAAAAAGTTTCTTGTCACTATTGCTAGTTTTGGAAAAGAAAGGCAGTAGGACAATTTTCAATTTTTTTTTTTAGAAATGTCAAACTAGGAATGAAGATATTTGGGATAATGTGGAGTGATCTGACAAGATGAGGATAGTGAAGTTGAGATAATTTGGGGCATATAAAGATGGGAAGCATAGATGTCTCAGTGAAGAGGTGTGAAAAGTTGACAATGATGGGTGTTCATAGAAGTAGGCTGAAAAAGTGTCGGGAGAGATGAATAGAGAGGACGAGGTGCATCTTGAGTTGGATATAACCTTAAATAAAAAGATTTAGAGATCGTGAATTGGAGTAGAAGTTGATAATTATATGTTCTCTCATTTTCCTGTGGGATATGATAGGGGTGATCATATTGGTACCTACTCTCTTACAAATAGTATTTATAGGTACTATTCTTTTAGTTTCTTTTTCGTTGATTGTTATTAACATCTATTTATGTTTTATTTATCACACTAGTTGGTTGTTGTTATTGTTCTTTCTATGTATGTTATGTATGCTTTAAATAGCGTTATATTTCATTATTAATTGTTACCGCTTTCATTTTGATTTTTTTTCAAATAACTTTGAGATACTTCGCTAAAGCTAAAAGTTTGTCGCAAACAATCTTTTCGTCTTTACAATTTACAAGGTAAGAATAAAATCTATGCACATTATAATCCTTATAAAATTATATTGCATATGTTGTTCTTTGGACAAAATTTTTGTTCAAAGTAGTTGTTTTCACTCTAAATCACTCACAAATTTAAAACCAATTCCATTTTTGTATTCATATTCAAACACGAATTCAACTTTCAAATATCATTTTTAATTTTAAAATAAATATTTTTTTTCCAAATTTCACTTCCTCTTTTATTTTTCTTCACTTAATTAATAAAGATACATGAAGAACTCTTTAATTAGTAGGGAGCGTTCCCTTTAATAAGTCGATTGAATTTGGATTAGTTAATCCGTTAGTAAGGACGTATGCTTCTATAATTAATTACTCATAATTTGTTTATACATTTGGAAATTTTATACCTTACAGCTAACAAATTAACCAACTCAGACATTTTTTTTAATAAAAAAAACCGTTATTTCATCTTCGAAAAGTAAAGTAAAAATGCTCAACTACTATAAAAGAAAATGTTCACGACACGAAACCTAACCAAATAATAATGTTAATGGACGAATAAAAATCCGAAAAGAAAAGCAAAGATAAAACGTAAGGACCTGCCCATGGAATTTTCCACTTTGCACAAACTGTCAATTTTAGAAGCCAAATTGTATAACTTGTCACAATTTGTACGAGTATATTTAATATTTGGAGATTTGTCATTTGAGATAATAATAGGTGACGTGTAAATAAGTAATTTTCGATCCATTTATTTTTCATTTCATAGAGAAATACAGTCAAAACGTGTGGGAAATATGGTCCCTTCCTAGAAATGACTTGTAGAACAAAAGCAACGTACGTAGGGAATAAACAAATTCAAGAAAAATAGACAAGTGCTGACCCACTAATTTAATTATAGAGTTGTTATCCACAAAGGATATGGTATGGCCCTTACAGCATGTCCACTCATAATTTGCAACAATGACAAAAATGTGTAAAAGATGGATGAGTTTTTGTGTGATAATAATTAGTACTTAAATCCATTTATAATCATAGCTAAAAAGTTCAATTTCCAAAAACTGAATTATGACCTGACTTCATATTGCCCAGACCTGGTTAGAGCTCGAAATCCTTTATAAGGTCGTGTAGGTAGATTCTTGAAATCAAGTTTTTCTATTTTCAAACCTGAGAGTGCAACACCCATAATTTTGAATCCCACAAGAAATGTAGGGAATACATGAAGCCGCTCAACTCCTGTTTCCAACACTAATGTTCCAGTCATTGAAGGAGTTTTGTCTTTCGGCATCCGACCAATAGACCAAGTGCATGTCTGCACTAATAAAACAACATGTCAAGAAAAGTTTGCAGATTAAAGCCTCCTCTATCACATAATTCCAAATTGGAACCAGACTGAAAAAGATTTTACTCAAAAAAAAGTTTGACATCCATTTAGAAGTTTCTGTCATTTTACGGTAGGGATAGAACTGACTAGAGTAGAAAGTATCTTCATTCATTTACTTCTGATTAACTACCAGAAGCTCTGTCGATAAGAGGAAGTACTACGTACCTTGTTGGAAAGGATGTTTACTGTTCCATAATTTGATGTAAGATCTGCAGATAAAACACGAGGGGGTAGTTGAAATTGAACGTTTATATCATCAATTGTCTTCCCAGGATCATTGCGTATCCCAACTAACAAGCTAATACGACATGTCCCTGAGTCTGAAGTAATTTGTGGCTTTACATATATAGGGGTGCTCTTCAACTTCTTTATTCTGCATGGCATAGTTTAGACTTTAGAGAGGGAGAAAAAAAGTTTAGACAAGATGAATGCAGCAAAGAAGTGAATTCTCTAATGCACTCCTACAGTGAACGCACGTGCTTGGTTTACAATTTGCCATTTCCTGTTTTTCATGTTTGGTGGATGCACATTGTAGTTTCAAAATCCGTACATAACCCCATCAACAATGGACCAACTGCCACTACTTGTGAATATATCTCATTAAATAGTGGTTATCGGAAAAAGACATGCCTTTCCTTCTGAAAATACAGTGCATTTATAAATAGTTCAGGTTTCGTTATGCATTTATTGACAGTTCAACTTTTGTTATTGGAAGGAGCAAGTTAGCAGCATGAAAGTTAGTCGGAGTTTCAATATTGATAAATATTTTCATTTCCTCAAAAAGGTAACTTTTTGCTGGGTTTCACCCTCCTTACCAAGCAAGGAAGGGGTTAATTTTATGGGTTCCAGTATCAGAGGGAATAAAGAGAAGATAACACTATGATGTACAAGTACATACTAAATGTAAACAAAAGACTAGAGTACTTTTTACATAAAGTCAAAACCATCAAATTTTGATCATGAGTTAAGGCAACTGCAATAGTTAACACCACAAACCTGTAGCTCATGAGCTTGAATTGTCCATCAGGAGGAACAAAAGACAGAATTTGGTTTGATTCCCATGATCGTAGCCGAACACAAGGATGGAATCTCACATCATTCAAGATGGAAGTATTTGCAAATGAAAGGGTAAGATCAGGAAGTCCGGAAAGATGAGAATTCACTTGAACTTCACCACAGATCTCACATTTCACCAGAACCCCATCTCTGAAAAGCATAAAACAATTAGAATGAGAAGCCTTTAGGTAATTGGCTATTCCTGTAAACCCTAGTTGAAGCATATAACAATTAAGAAAAAGATGCTCCAATGGTCAACTGTATTCAAACTTAGAACCCCCAATGTAGAAAAGCAATCCATTATTCGGCAATATCGTAATCATCAGTGAAGAAGAAAATAAAATCAATTTGGTCACAGCAAAGAGAAGAATGTGGCATGGAAAAAGTCAGGACTTCTGGGCAGATTCCAGTATCCGCCTTAGGTGCAGTTTCATTGCCCATAAAAGAGAAAGGAATGTGCCGCAAGTTAAATTTGTTTGCAATATTTGTGTGTTTCATATGAAGAGAAGTTTGTTCAGAAAAGCAATTAAGAAACTCTTATTTGTCCTGCAAATATCACAGAACATACAAGAAATGGATTTCCTTTTCCTTCATTTTACTTCACGGCAGTCTTCAAGAAGTTCAGTTTCTAGCAACTTTCTTGAAAATTCAGAGGAAGTCTGGGAATTCTTTTTTATATATATAATGGTCTAGGGGCTCACTTTTATAATCTAACAGATTGATAGAAAGGAAATGCTCATCGAAACAGTATAAGAAATGTCACTTATATACATTGACAAGCACACATATACACATGTGTATGCATACTATAATACACTTCAATTCTCAAGGATGCTGCCGAATTCCCCTGAAGAAGCCATTTGCACTAGTGCACAAAAGCATGCCTTGTATGTGCCATGAAGCAGATCATAACTCTATGGCTCCCGCTGACTCCATATCGAAATAGTTTTAACTCTACGCATAATGGAGAATAGAATACTAAACTAGTTAAACATTTACTTTGATAGAACAAACATGACATTAAAGTTAATTTGATAGGTTAGATGAATTTGAACCCTCAAAAATGGTATAATATAATAATAGAAGAGTGTGGAACATTTTGAGATATTCCCTAGTAGAAAAATGTCATATAAATTGAAATAGTGGAAAGAGTTCATAGGTAACATAGAAAGAAAAAAGTGTACCTTCAAAATTAACATGTGCCAGCTTTCACACTATCCTTTTAAGATCACACTTTGGTTCTTGAAATCTTAACCTCTAGATGTTTTTATGTGAGATTTTAACCTCTAGGGTATACCCAATATTGCTTCAAAGTAGCATATCATTATGTTTACCCTTCACCTTTTGTGATACAATGGGTTACATCATGTCAAACTAAAAAGTTTGATGATAAATATAAGATTTTAAAGATATTAATAGAGAGATTCTCACATACTGAGAAATAAGGAGCTGCAATGGAGGTTAAGTGATAGTAAGATATAAACCTATTTATAGTTGCATCCATTTCTTCAACTAAATCAACATAAACTTCATTGCTTGAATGCTTCAGGTCTGTTTTTCTCCAAGGAACACAAGATCCTGTTGCACCTGGAAGTGTGTTGCTCATGTTGGAAGTGTTACCAGTGACAACACTCAATACTTTGCTTATGATATTTGGAGGAGCTATCATTTCCCTTAGTATATTAGGTTCTGTAGTAAGAGGGAAACCATTGTCTATCATCTCATCCA